CCAACAAAAGATCCACAAAGAAGAATGAAGTACTGACGCCTCTTCCATCGATTCTTTATCCCCATCTTGGAGCGCGATCGGTCACTCCCGATCAATTCCTCGACGATCTTCTTGACGATGTTGTCGTCACTCCGGGCTCAGAATAGTCCTGTCTCCATGTTCATTAGCTGCCACAACTCTATCTGGGTATCCTCAACACGTGAACGAGCAATGAACTTCAAATCCGGAACGTTACAAACACGCGGTGGTGGAATTCTTTATCCTCCGGGCATAATTCTTCAAACACTGTGCCTTCAAGTCTGAGAAAACCAACATTTCTTGAAGCGATATCTGCACTTGTGGCTCTCTGAGACCCTCGAGGCAGTGGAGGCACCATTTCTTTTGAAGTACGATCTCGTAACGCGTCTTTCCATTCCGAAATTGAGGGCAAGCATCAGAAAAGTGAATGCCCACTGCACCACAAAACGCGCAGTCCCTGTCACGAGGGATTCCCCGAGACTGGTCGTGTCTGTCTCGGTATGGAAAACGTCCAAAATCTGATTCCATTCTTCTCAATTTTTCTCGCACGACTCGATTACGACCAGTGATTATGATGCGCTTGGAGCATGGTTACAAGATGTGGGGCCGAGAACTCACCCCTGATACGAATCTCTTCGAATGTGGATTGGGAGCTCTGGTTGACTTCTCCAAGGAAGGAAGAATGAAGTACTGACTCTTCCATCGATCCTCTATACCCATCTTGGCGCGCGATCGGTAGATCACTTCTGATCAATTCCTCGACGATCTTCTTGACAATGTTGTCGTCACCAACAATAGCGCCAAAAATAGCCCGAAATAGGGCGCACTCCGCAACAGTATGAACGAGAGCATTCCATTAATCGCTTGAAGATTTCGTTGCACCCCAAAGTGGAATATGCAACGGAAGCGAGGAGTGAGTTTGACTCCAGACATTTCCTGCACCCTTTCCTGAATTGAGTCGACCGGGTCATTTTTGCTATGGAATCGAGCTAGCGAAATTAAGAAAGGAGAAAAGAAATGCCTCAGGAGAATTAAGAACTCTCTGAAATGACAGGATGGGGCAGCCCATCCGCGCTTTGTTCTCTTCTTTCCGCAATTTTACAGAGTGTAAAATTGAATAAAGGTGAACTGATAAAATTTAATAGTGTGTTTGCAAGAAATAATTGCTAAATACTGAAGTTATTTTGTAATAAAGTTAATAGAAAACAAAGGGAGAAGGAAGAGCTTCATGAGAGATAGTGAGTAACGAATCGGCAGGTAATTTTTCCTCATATCGTAAGATAGGAAAATCAATGAATGATTATCAAAAAGTGAAGGTTAAGTTTAGTTTATTACGCCTGCAAAGACACATGTTAAAAACAACCCAACACCGATGGGAAACCAAATCGGCCACGATTTTGTTGTTGCATTATTTTTAACACATTGCGTACCAAGCCGTTTTTGCGCTGGCGAGCTCGCATGGCCGCGCGTGCATTGCGCATCGTGCGCCACATGGTGGCGCATGCGGCCACACGGGGCAGACATTTTTCGAAATTCTCTTTTAAGGGTACTTTTCACTTTCTTATCCTTAGTATCGGGTTAACCACAATTTTATGGAAACTGCGTCATATTTTTTGCTTATTGGCTTGTAATGTACGTTTTAAGAGTTGAACAAATGATTACACAACAACGATTGTGAAGGATACAAAAATCTGCTTTGTCCAACTTCTCATGTCTTATAAGACAGCGATGGCAAACTAGACAGTTCGATTACCCCACAATCCGCTGTATCATGTTTATTTGAACAGCAGTTACGATCCACCCTTCGCAGGATCTCCTGAGGGTGTGGATACATTACACCCATACTTGCCGTACATTTATTATCGAGTTCAATACCAGGGTAGAGCGAACTTTAGCAGGGTGTCAAATAAAGTTTAGTTCCAATGCTTAGTACCATGAGACTTCGGAAATTCACTGCCGAAAGACGTGTAAGCTGGGAAAAACGCTACGAAAGCCTTAACGCTGATGTTTTGCTGTATACCACTTTCTTTACTCGAAGGTTCTGATTGAAACTTATTCTTGCGACGCAGTTGCATTAACGACTAGATTGCTGTGACTGCTAAACTCACTTGAAAGAATATGTTATTCAAGCGAATTCAATTACTAACTAGTCTCTTTTGAGAATATCATTTACTAATATTAACTAATTATCTGGCGACGTCCCACTCAAATATGTCGTTCTCTAGTGAGAAAACACATTTCTGCAAAATCATTGAATAAGAAACGACAACTATTGTATACAAAAAACATCGTGCGCCACCATGTGGCGCACGCGGCCACACAGTGCAGGAAGCGTGCGCCCTATGTGGCACAGCGTGTTAATCAGAACAATAAATAAAAGGAAGGAAAGCATTTGCCGTTGATCAATCCCTTTTTGGGATGCGGCACGCATTCTACTTCCATTTGTACATTCGTAGTGGCGTTTGAATGCGATGTGGCCTATACAATGACTTGCGGGGCCAGCCGATGTACAAGTCAGTGTTTTTATCCTCCCAGACAAGTCTGGTACCAATTAACCGACCCCGGAGGGATGGAAGGCTTGGTTGGCCCGGGCGACTCACGACCCAGGATTTGATCCCCGGACCGCTCGCGTGGTAAGCGTGCCACTTGCCACTACACCACTTCCGTCCACGAAATGAATTAGCGGACATAAAATTTTCGTTTATTCGTTGTATTCTTTTTGGAAACGAACTTGGAAACATACATAGTCATGAAAGAAACTATGAAATTTTTCTTAAAGAGGTTAAACAGACTAATAACAAATAACATTATTCTCATCTATATCATCTTTCTATGCCGGTCCATTAGGAGCTAGGCTTTCACAGAAAAGAAAAAGGGAAGGGTGTGATAGCTCGCTCAAGTAAAATACTAGTTTCTCGCTGAAAAATGAATGGGCATTAATGCTCCAAATTTATGGGTCAACAAACGAGAAATACCTCAAGGTTTTCTCCCATTTTCTAAAGATAAACACCGATGCAAAACGTGGAAGGGGTCCCATAAATCTCTGAGGAATGTGTCGACACATAACCATAAACTTTTCTACCCGTTCCAGAATAGCTGACATGAGAGATCAACAAATGCAGTCTGCCACTTTCTTGCTTAGCTTACAGCAGGGCTTGCGTTCGTTGGAACATTGAAACCTTCTAGTAGAGCTATAATTCAAGTAGCTGGATAGGGGTGAGAGAATGAAAGCTGCACTCGTTATATTCTGCAGCTTCTATCGCAATTATTACTACCATCCACCGGGGCGGAGGTAGTATGGCAAGGGGCGCTGCTTACCTCCTGCACGGTCCAAGGATAAATCCAACTTATTAAGTCGTCCAGGTCACCCACTTTCTTTCTACTCTCAGGCTAGGGTAATTGCCGACTTGTCTGATGGGAGAAAGCATCGATAGCACCATCGGCTGCCTCCTCACCCCCCCCCCCTCGGGTAATTGCATAGGTAAAATTGCATTGAAAGTGCCGCCACGGTTCCAACAAGTGAATGTAGGATGGGGACGTAAGCAAACCAGCCCTTTTGGCGCTTCGGCTGGGACCGTATGCTGAATGTTGGGGAGGGGATGGAGTCCCCGACGGTGGACGGACCACTTCAACTCGGTCCTTAGAACCGCCACAATTTGGTGCTTACCTCAGAACTAAGCCTTAAAGAGAGGACGGGTCCGTCCCCTCTCCAAGGCTTAGTCCTGGGTGAGCAAACCAGCCCTTCTGGCGGAGCTGCTGGACCAGCTGCACCACTTGCGTCAGTACTCTCCTATCGTACCAACCGAGTTGAAGTAAACCGTCGACCGTTGGGGACCCCATCCCCTCCCCAACATTCAGCATACGGTCCCAGCCGAAACGCCAAAAGGGCTGGTTTGCTTACGTCGAGATGGGTGCTACAGCAAAGAAAGGGTTGATCAACGCCGAGTGATTTGTCCTTTGTGACTGTTCTGATCTCTTTTTAAACAAGGCTTTTACGAATAGTTCAAAGGTTTTAATAGTCTTGTCGCCATAAATAGAGCTGGTTAACATGCGTGAGAATTTTCCGGAAACTCTTACTGTATTTCTCACCGTGCTGACGTTCGCCAACGACTTTCGTCACTAATCGCTTTCCCTCGATTGACATTGTTGCCTGTTGACTATGCCCTCTGACGTCAAAACAAAAAGAAATGTTCATGATACTGCTATTCAGAAACGGGCCGCGATTATTTTCAGCTACCCTTTGAATGGTGTGCAGTAAAGGCCAATAGCGCGTATTGTATGTCGCTGTAGAGGGTTCATCTTGATTACCTGTTCATTAATTGTCGTATAACTTCGTATAATGTATGCTATACCTACTAGTGACTATAATTGTTATTATAAGACGCCATGCTTCCACCGACAAAATCCGGTCGTGGTTCTTTCATCACGTGTAACGATTGTCATGATGGCGAAAAATGGATCACCAGTAAAGAAAAAATGTTTTAAGAATCCGTTAACACAATGGTTATTTTCGGCTCACTTTGCCCTTCATTAATCGGTTTGTTACCGGCAATGAAAGACTATAAGCGTGAAGAGAGCGTATGAGAAGAGAGAGCACAATAAATGAGAGGTCGCCGGACAACAGCCTAATGAAAGAAAAAAACTGCAGCAGCTGCAGCTTACTTAGCAAGGTTATAGCGATCTTGTCGGGGCTCCGTCCATGGGAATGCCACATTTATGAGTGTCCTCTAAGGTTCTATGCCTTACAACCGAGAGGGAATCGTTCACGTGCTATCAGTCTTAGTTGTGCCTTTGAATGGGTAAGCAGGCAAAGGCTGGCTTCCACAAAAAATCAGAAACCAGCGGGTTTGATTTTTCAGAAGCCAATGTATTGTAGAACTGTCCGATCACAAGTAGGTTCAATTAAGAGCTACCCGACCCCGAAACGGATTCCTCTTGCTCTGTTGGTAAACTGTAGGATAAGCCCAACATTCCGACAAGCCTCTATCAAGAGAATTGAGCATCAAAAGCAAATACTTACAAGTAGTGGAACAATACACAAATTACTAGATAATTACGAATCTATATCAACAAATGGCTAATTGGTTCATGCCCAATGAACATCAATCAAATTCTGCAAGTTCCTGGAAGGTTCATGAATTTTCACAAGTAGAAATTATTTGTGGAATAAAAAAATGTTTACTAATTTTGTATTTCCATTCCAAAATTTCGAAATTTGAATACCTTTCTTCCCTCACCTGCCCACAAGACGAACCGAGCGTTCCCTCACACCCTTTACCGCTCAGCTCCCACCCCCGAGACTTCAGCGCGCACCCCGCGCGCGACCACCCACCCTGCGCATCCCCCTCCGCCAACACCTCCCCCCCCAAAATCCCCCAAAACACCGCTCAGCCCCCACCCACGTATAACGACGCCTCCGATGCACGCGCAGCTTCAACCGCTCGATTCCCCCCACCCCCCTCCAGCATCACACCTCTCCCCCCACACTTCCAGCCAACACCGACTCCCCCTGACCCGCCGCTTCCCTTCCACCAAACAACATTCCTCGCGGTACTGCAGGCCCCGTCGAACTTTCGAACGCATTCAGGCGCCAACCAACTTGTGCCTGCCTTCGCTCCCCCTCTGCGCTCTCTGACGCTTACTGCGCCTTCACGCTCGCACCGCAACCTCAAACCATAATTTCAGGCTCCATGA